CTGCAGGATAAATGGCAGTGCTCTTTAAAAAAAGCAATAAAGATAATCAAATCTGAGAAATGCGCAGAACCTCTGACAAATGGCACACAACACTTTGTACTGCCACACGGAACTGTTTCACAGGTGCACACACCAGCATACTTCCTGGATAAACAACGCCTTTTCTTTAAGACAGTATTTGTATATGATGTCATAGGGCATTTTGCCAGTTTGAAGAGTTTGGCAATACACCCCATTCTTGGGAAGCAATGACTGAGCATGCTGCTTCCTATGATAATTATTTACAGAGAAACTTCCCAGGTATACTCAGTTGTGACAGAGCAAGAAGTGCAGGTGAAAAGAGCAGACTTTTGGTCCTTTCAAAAGTTGTATTTTATTACACATGTGATAGTATTCATACTGAGGAGTATCCAAAGGCATCTTCATTTTGCAACAAGATGAGATTTGAATGAGAAGTTGTAAAAAATAAGTGAGTAGATTTTCTTTGCATTCCTCTCTCTTTCCACCCACTGAAGAAATGTCAATAAATTAGGCAATATTTGGCAACATAAAAATAGAAACCCCTTAAAGGAACCTATTTCAATTAAAAAAAAAAAAACCTGAAAACAAGATAAACTTGGTACAAATTTATGTTCATTTAACAGATATTTACTGGGCAGTAGTTATGTTCTGAGACTGATAAATAGTGAGGCATAAGAGCCAGATGTGTGCTCACAAAACCCACGGCCTGGTTGGAGTGATGAAGATCTGGAAAATAATGAGAAATCAAGAACAGATTTGCGGAAAGGACCAAGTAGTGTGGAGGAGGCAGGAAAGTATTTTTTTTTTCCTTTCTGAGTTCTATTACTTCATGTATCCTAACCTCTTTTTCCTACTGGAAATCGGAAGTGGCTGTGTTTCTCACAGACAACTGTGGAAAGAGACAGCCTGTTGATGGGTGACAGACCTGGCTGGCTGGGTGTCAGAAGCTTTGGGAGAAACCCCAACCCCAGCTTGGAGCATTTTTTTGTGTGTGTGGGACCCTCGCCCTGCAGCCGGGGACCAAACTGGCGCTGCAGAGGCTGCGGGCAGCCTCGCAACCCAGTGCTCAACCGCTGTGCCACCAGGAGAGGTGAGCTTGGAGCATTTTGAGCACCCAGCAGGGAGAATGGACTGAGCAGCTGGTGGAACTTGGAAGGGGCTTCAAGGCAACCACAGCATGCGGTGTAGGAAAGCCTGACTTTGAGGTGTAGGAAAGCCTGACTGAGTCCTGGATTTTCATTTGACCTTCACTAGGAGATATGGACACTACGCTGGGACCTCTTTCTTTGCTACCTGTACTACATCTCTTGGCAACAGCCAGTCCTATTGGCTATAAATACTCTGCAGATGCTTCGAGGACATCCGAACTTACACCCCAGCAGGACCTCTCCCATGAGCTCCAGGCCATGTATCCATCAGGCTTCTATGTATCCTTGGCTTCCCCACTTAGATATCAAATAGGAACCTCAAACTTAACATGTTACAAAATGAGTCCTGGTTATAGATCACAAAGTCTGTTCTTCTTATTCTCCTAAATTATAAGTCCCTTCTTCCAAGGGCTCAGGACAAAATTCTTGGAACCATTGGCATGTCTCACTTTGTCAGCATCCCATGTCTTCCCAGCTCTGTCTTTAAAATCGCTGTCAAATTCCACCTGCCAACATCGTTCTCCCTGGAGTACTGCTTCTCTTTTTGCCCCTCAATCTCTTTGCATTACAGGATCCTTCCTGTGCTGTGTAAGTTAGACCACCTCGCTCAGAGTAGAAGGTAAAGTTGAGTGTTTTCCCTGTCTGCCCTCCCCCTCTGCATGCTGTGATTCCATCTCCTGTCACTCAGCTCCTTGCTTACTCCAACACCCGGGTCCTGGTTCCTTGAAAATGCCAAGCACTCTCCCATCCCAGGATCTTTACACAGTTTGCTCCCTCACCCCCAAGCTTTTCACGGTGTTGGTGAGGGTTCCATTGGGAAGCAACTGATAGGCTCCATCAGGAAGCAACTGATAGTCTGAGAACTGATTGGTTACAGGGTAGGGAGAAAGGGATCACATGGGTTGTGCTGTCAGCCACCTGGGAAACAGCTGGCTTGGAGCCATAGGTTTCTGTGTGCTTCCTCCATTGTCACCCTCTGTGTCATCAGGAAATACAGTTCATGTGGTGTGTCCCAATAGGTGTCTCTAAGATATTCTTCCAGCTGCTGACTCTGCAAGTTCTGATGAACTTTATTGCCTTTGCCAGGAGGTTTGCTGACAACAGCTAGGACTCGCAGTCCTTGTGTAAGTGGCGCTGAGGTGAACGCAGTGGCTTTCCAGTCACCACTGCAAGCAACCACTCATTCGTGATCACAATGTCACCATTGCCATGTGCCAGTCTGTATAAAATTGCACAGCAGAACTGATGAAAATCAAAGCAGTAAATTCAATAGCTGCTGAAGGTAAACTTGTATTCTCCAGCTGATGTTGGTGAGATGGTGAGACAGACCATCCAGGTGATTCTCAAAGATTTCCTCAGATTCCAACACTTTTGTCTGTCATTCAGTCTTGTTTCATGCAACTTTTATCCTTCAGTTTCTGGTTATCTTTAGTTGGTAGGTGGCTTCTAACTATTAGTTTTAATTTTTTGTTCCCCTTGACTTGTTAAATTTTTGCAACATGCAAAATGCTTTATTTGCTAGCACTCTAAATTTTCAAGAACATTTTGAATCATCCTATCCTTTAGAGAACGTGAGTAACATGCATATCATCCCCTGAATCATCTGCTTTTAAATTTATGGGCTGAGATTTCCTTCCATTGTAGCCCCTTGCATTACTCAAGAAATGGAAATGTATGCACCATGAGGCGCTGTACTTGTGCAGTGCGACTGGAAGGGTAGGTTGCACTGTGAGTGTCAGGCTTGACTTCAATATTTTCCTCTGCCTGTCATTAGGTTCTAAGCAGAAATTATTTTCTCTTGAATTTGTTTTCACTCTGGGCTTTGATATGCAGTGTTAATAGGAACCTGTTTGAAGTTGTAAGCAGAGATTTTAGAGAGGTATGAATAATCCATTTGCCAAAAGCAGACATAGCAGAAAGTAGTGCTTAGAGGAATATGAGTGAAACCTGTCATTGCCGACACATTGGACTCTCCTGCAGGTGGGCTGGAGCACCCCGGAGCAATTTAAGGGTGTGGTCTACCCATTCCAGGTCTTCACTGTTGTTCTCATTTACTTGAAAAATAAAATTAAAAAAAAAAAAATAGAGAGAGGTGAGTGAACAACGAGTGTTAAAAATTGATGATGTGTGTGGGCCTCCCCGGTGGTGCAGCGGTTGAACACTGGGTTGCGAAGCTGCCCGCAGCCTCTGCAGCACTGGTTCGATCCCCCGCTGCTCCCCGACCACCGGAGGAGGGTCCCACATGGCGCGCAGACCTCTCCTGCCGCCCGCTGCTCCCCTCGGCAGTGTACTTCGGTCGTTCTGCCTGCTCTGCTCCCCGCTCTGGCTCTCGTGAATTCTCTCACCCTCCCGCACTTCTGACTGTACCCAGTGCTTGTATAAACAAACAAACAAATAAATAAATAAATCTTAAAAAAAATTGATAATGTGGTTCTTGGAGTGTCTAGCTTTTGATGAAATCCAGGCAAAGCTTGTCTGAATTATGTCATTGTTTCTCTCTGTGATGAGTCAAACTTAGAAGCACAAAAGTGAAATATCAGTGCTTCCCCTCACTAACATGTTCATTATTAAATTAAGAACTTCACCTTCTCAAGGCCATGCTGTCAGATTGTCTAGTGTCTTAGAGTGCTTTGCCTTTCTTTTCTTCAATGTATTTTATAATTTCAAGCCTTACATTCAAGTCTTTAATCCATTTTGAATTAGTTTTTATGTGAGAGAGTCATCTATTCTCATTCTTTTGTTTATGGGTATCTGGTTTTCCCAACGCCATTTGTTGGCTCTTTTGTCATAGATGAGCTGTCCATCAAATTGTGTCTTTATTTCTGGCTCTCAAACCTATTCCATTTGTCTGTGTGTCTGTTTTTATTCCAATACCATGCTGCTTGAATTACTATGGCTTTGTAATATAGATTGGAGTCTGGAATATAATGTCTCCATTATTATGTTTTGTATCGCTCTCCTCTCATGGATGGAGAACTGAAAATAAGTTTGAACAATGAAAAACTGTGTCCTTAGTTAGAATGTTCTTATTTTCCCTAGATGACTTTTTTTTTTAATTGAAGTAATATTGGTTTCTAGGATTATATAGCCTTATAAATCAACATCTGAATATAGGACATTATGCATTATGGTCACCAGCAAAAGTCTAGTTTCCACTTATCATCTAGGTGAGATTTTATTGAGACAGGGAAGAGTGGCGATGACTCACGCATAAGTAACTATTCCAAATTTTAAGACTGATGTTTTTTCTCTTTCCAATTGGAGTCTGCCTTTTGTATTTAACTTTTGTTTTTCTGACTTTCTTTTCTTTTCCATACTTTACATGGTTTGAAGAAATTGTAGATCAGTTACTTATTGCCCTTAGCCTCAGTGGCACACAACTGTAAGGTGACTCCTGCATCCGGGATCAGCTGCATCTGGGTGCAGGCCAACCTGGGCTGGTCCCAGCTGGAACAGTTGTGGCGACTCAGTTCTGCATCATCTGTGCTCAGTCTCCTCAGGAGTCCAGAAGGGCAGCCCAGAAATGCTCTTTTTATGTCACAGGCAGAAACACAAAAGTGCATATAGGGCTGCACAGGTATCCTAAAGAACAAGTTCAAAGCCACACACAGTCACTGCCTCATGCGTGACCAAAGGGAGCCACATGGAGTGAAGAATTAAGCCCTGTGAATTCAGGAGGGGAACTCCAAGTCACACAAGAAGAGGCATGGATATGGGGAGGAGAAAAGAAAGGGGGGCTTTCGCGCCTTATCTACCACAATCAGTTCCATGAAACCTGCTCACAACTAAAGTTTAATAAAATTTCTCTTCTTTGTGATGTATCTTTTTCAGGAAACCAGATCCTATGGCTCTTCTTGCTGCCTTTCAGACAGCATTCATTTTCACATTGTTGCCATTGAGACCGTATCAGAATCAAGGTAAGAAGCAGAAAGAACAGTAAAGAAAAAGCCACATAGAGAGAAAATGAGGTAATCGGTTGCTTTGGGGTAAAGTTGAACGATTCTCTTTTTCTTTGGAAATAACTTGGAGTTGGTTAGTGGCTCACATGAGTTGTCCATTCTCTCATACCCATGGATACTTAGCCTTCCTTCCCAGATCTTGATTCCATTTACTCGGCCTTACCTTAACCCAGATTTCCTGGTGAGCACCCTGATCATTGGACCTCATCCCTCAGAACTTCACGAGCCTCTGGCCCCCTCCAGAATCCCGTCCTGGTCACTGTCCTGCCTTGGCAGGACATTGTTTGACATTCCATTCCTTGCCACCTTTGGTTACAAGACGTTCCTGCCTTATCAGTGGGGGTACAGTGCAGTCAAAGGGAGCACGGGTTTTGGTATTAGAGACATCTGTATTTAAATCCCAGATAGCCTTATACAAGTTATTTAGTTTCTTTGTCAATAAAAATTTATTATCTCAAAATTTTTAATAGGTATCATAGGACACAGTATGGGTAACACACCTGGCACTGTACCTGATAAAATGTACCTGCCCTCTATTATCGTTGCTGCTATTTTTACCTCCTGATGAGGAAAACAGCACATGAGATTGGAAGTTTTGGATTGTTTTTTCAGTATTAGAGATTGCTTCCAATTTTTGTTGATGATAGGAATTATTCTCTTGCCTTTAATTGCCAGAGGGGTTTTGATCATAAGAGAAATCTTCATAGAACTCAAAAACTGAATGATTAGCAGATGGTCCTTGTGATACCTCAGAGTATCAGATACCAGTTGATTTAATTAGCATGGTTTCTGTCTTTTCAAAATCATTCGCTAAGACCCCCTCCAACAATAAATGAAACCAGTTGAGTGAGCAGTACACAATCCATAATTCCAAAGGAATTGTGTCGTGTTTCCTCCTCTTAAGTGAAAACTGGGGACTTGTTTTTCTCTAAGAACCAGCCATGACTCATTCCATTGAGTCCTATCCTTTCCCTTGGTCTGTTTCCTAAGTTCAGTGATCCCAGCAAAGCTGTTTCCTGCTTGAATCTCTATTCTCTTACAGACTCTGTCACATCATTGAGGACTCTATGAATGTATTGTGCCCTGTTATTTCACAGGTGTCCTCTGTGTCCCTCCAGCGAGGCTCCTGCCTTGACCTAGAACCTTTTACATGCACTTTAAAAGCACTAAGTGCCTCTCTGTTGGTGGGTCCCATCCTAAGAGTCCAGAGAATTCCTCCTAGAGATGTTTTAAGTTCAGTGCATTGAGATATAAGCAATTATGTCTGGAGATGGGAAATGCTCCAACTTTATAGCTATTTAATAAGCTACCAAATACTTTCAAAAATAAAACTTTCTAATTTTGATTTCCAGAAATTTGGAATTTAAAGCAAAAAGACCTGATTCTTTATTTAGCTTTACTATGTTTCTAAACCAGTGAGCTGTCCAATGAAGTGTCCTTTGTTTTAACTGCTTATTAATTTATTCACTTGTGTTAATTTGTTAAGCAAATCATTTTGCACACTTAGATTTTAATTTTTTCATCTGCCAAGTGATTTCTAAATTCTGTTCCAGCTTTCATGGTGTCTGATTCTAGATGCATATGTGAATAATATTTTCCAAAGCTAAACAATGTTGATACTGAACAACTTAATTATCTGTGACTATTCAATCATGTTCCTATTAAATGTTATTTCATATCTTGTTTTGATCTTTCAGTCTTGTCTGAAACTTTACTCTTGAATCCTGAATCACTGAATATTTCTATCAATTATTCACATCAACGTTTGCATTTACAATGGAGTGTCCACAACCGCAATCATTATCAATTAAATCAATTAAAAATGGTTTTTCAGATACAGATCAGTAGAATTAATACATCCAATACCATCTGGGTGGTAAGTAATTTTTTGACTCAATATTTAAAATATTATTTTCTGATGCCCTAATTTGTGTTTTACAACATTCAAAAAATCTCAACTTGAAAACATTTTAGGGAGACCAGATGTTCTTCCTAAACAAGTTGTATATCTGCACATCTGTGTTTTTACGTAAGAGGTCCCATGACAAAGTAATGTGACAATTCTTGTTTGGTAGATTGAATGGAATATATGGAAAAAAAACCCATATTTTCCTACTCTTCTCTGTCCCAGGAAGAGCTCTGTGTCTCCTTGTGAATACTAGATTCAGACATCTGTGAAGATCAGTCATCTTATTCTTCTTCCTTCTTTTTAACTTGTTCAACATAGATTTACCTAAATAAGGTGCGATTGTTTGACCTTTTTTATTGTCAGCATAGCTTGTTGGCAGCTTCTTTGCTTACCCTGTGCTGAAGTGCAGGAGAGAATGGCCTAGCTCTGTATGGTCAAGCCAGTACAGGGGTTCTGCATGACCATCCACGGGGGAGAGAAACTTTTACGGTCTCTCTTGTTGCCTCACATGTAGCTTTTCTATGACAAATTCAATCATAAGTCCTTAATTTCATTGTCTTTTTGCCTTTGAAGTATTTAGGGTAAATATTTTGCTCGTTTTGGTTCCAGTAATAGTTGTGTCTGTCTCACTTGATGCTGCCCATCCAGGGCGTGAAGACACTGGTAGTTTATTTCATTTATGGCCTGGGGAGTGTTTGTAATCTACACATACATCTGCTTAATTCATTATCATGGAATGTTGAAGGACAGTAGAATGTTCTCTCATTGAAGGGGAGTGGAGAATCGGCTGTTCTTATTTTTTAGTCTTGTCTGAACCCGAAGGTGAGGGGAGACACAGGAATGTGTCACTGCTGGGGACGTTGGTGACTCCACAGAGGGCCACTCCTCTCAAGCCATAGGGACACAGGTGCAGGGATCCAGATGGTTGGTTCCTTTAGAAAAAGCATACCGACCGCTCATTTTAAAGCGAGCTACTCTCATGTCGGTTCTTGCATTTGAGATCTGAGTGGCTGAAATTAAATGTAATTCTGATTCTGTTGATTTAGGGTTAACACCAGGTCTATAATTCTACCCCTCAAAGGGCAGTTTCCCACAATGAGTGTTGTTTGTGTTTTGATCTTAAACAATAGCAATGCATAAGCACCGCTGTTCACTGCCCCACATCCCCCACCAGCACGTCTTCCCATCCTCCCGCCGTGTACTAAACATTTTGGTATTTTCATACTTTTTTTGTATATTTTATAGAAACACTGGTGGTTGATTTAGACCCAGGAAAACCTTGAGCAAAAATTCTATTGAGGTTGAGAATTGTCTAAGAAAAGGAAATTTGAGATTTTTTTTTTCCAAATTTTTTTCTCAAAAGAATTGAGAAAACTAGTACTTAATATCCTCAGGGAAAGGAATCCTGAGCAAGTGGATGGGCAGTTCTTTCCCTTCTGATGGGCAGTTGTGCGTATCTTTTTTTACTGTTGGTTCATGCACTAGTTCTCTTTCCAAGCTCAAGCCGTTTATGGAACTCACCTCTATAACCTCCCGAGGTTTGAGATCTTTAACAATAGATTATATACAGTTTTCAAACTAAAGATGGAATAAAACTAATGATTAATGGTAAGAAGAGAAAAAGTTCTGCCTTATATTGTGTTGCCCCAACTCCCTAGCTTGGTGTGACCCCAACAGAGGAGAAACTCAAGGCCTAGGATGTTTGTCATGACAGCACCTGGGCAGGATCACCCTCACCCCCACACGAGCTGTCACACACAGCCCACCCAGGCCATCACGTGTCCTGAGGTCAGGGCAAAACATGTGCTCCCCTCTAGTTAAGGGGATGAGAGCTGAGAGAGGCCGCTTCTGGCTCAAACATAATACTCCTTTTGTAGTTGACCCCCATGATACCCCCTCACTCGTGTTGAGTGGAGGCAACTTCTAGATCCACGTCTCAGGCTATCGTGTTTCCAAATAGACTGAAGGAAAAGCATCTTGAGCTGCTTGCAGCTAGACCCAGGACACCGAGCTGCCTCCCTGTGGTGCTGGCCACTCGGAGCCCTGCTGCCTGCCGCAGCACACCTCACCCTGGGCGGGCTTCTCCCTGCCCGCCCGGCCCCTGGCTGCGTGAGTCCATTAATGGCAGAGCAGGGAGAGCCACTGAGCTTGCAGTGGCCGAGAGCATGAGTCGATCTGGAAATAGCACACGCTGCAGGGAGCAATCTGTGACCTCAGTTGGACTTTGTGGCAAATCTATGTGCCAGTTTCTGGGGACTTACTCATATCTGCCCTCGGCCAAATGAAACTTGCCCCTTCAGTTAATGAAAACAGCCCAAACACAATTCATCACATTGGCAAACACTCACTGAATTGATGCATTCAAGGAGAGTTTTATCTCCTGTAGAGACCACAAAGCACAAATTGAGGTTAGACAGAATCCACACAACAGTGTCTGGAAAGGAAGAGCCTATGCATATTCATGAATTGATGAAATCAGTCAACAATCTCAGGCTGTGGGCCAGGTCTAGGCATTGTGCAAAGTCTGGGTCTCTCTGGGCTGCGCAAGGATGATGAGAAAAGCTCAGAAAGGAGGGATCCTAAATGTGGGAGTTGGGGTGCAGGTGGCTAAACCGGTTGCTGTGGGATCAGGGTTAAGCCCAACCCTCTCCAGCATCTTGGAAGAAATACTGTTGAGGCCAAAATATGAAAGAGGGTTAGAAGCCAGTTTGACACAGAGGGTGGAAAGAATACCCTAGGAAGATCCAGCAGGTATGAGCTGAGACTTGAGAACGAGATTCTCGGCCTCAGGGCCCTGAACATGTGGGGGCAGGTGGGCCCCCTGGCTGACGATGCAGGGCCCCGGGGTTCACATGGAGGTTCGCTGTTCATCCTGAGAGTGATAAGGAGAGTGACAGGGTCTGACCACTGCATTTTGGCTGCACCTTGAATCATGGTCGGGGGCACTGGAGAAGGCGAAGTATGACAGGAATGAAGTGGGCTTCAGGGTCAGTCAGCAGAGGGCCTGGGGAGCGGATGACAGGAGTGGCTGAGTTGGAGAGCGAGGCAGGGCTTGAAATCCAGCCTGTGGCTTGTTGACCTGAGAGCGCGTAGTAAGGTCACCAGTGTTGACATGGTTCATTTTTTGGTCCTGGCTCTTAAACAATGTTAACCAAAATATACTTGAGATTGTGCATTGTAAATAGTGAAAGTCACATGGAGCAGGCCCTCAAAACCTGTAGTTTTAAAGTGTTTTATAATCTAGGAACATAGAATAAACTGAAGTAAAATACAAACGCTTTAAAAATTGGAGTTCCTTATAGAGGGAAAAAGGACCTGCAGGATTAGGTACTGCCGAGTGGGCTGAGCTGTTCTTCTGGCTCCAGGGCTGCTTCCTGAGCTCTGGGCTCTGTTTAAGCTCAGCCTCCTGGGGAGGGGAAGGCAGACCTGAGGGAGGCCTCAGCACTTGCCAGCTGACCTGCATGCAGCCCCTTCTCCACCTTGTCAGAAACAGACACAAACTCTTTTTCCCCCACAAAATACAAGCTGTTTTTGTCCTGGATTCCCAGCTGTGAGGGCCCAGAGCAGGTGTCCTGGTGGCCCACACAGGAATGTAAGTACCTGAAACTGTGGGACCGTGAAGAAAAATGAAGCACAGTCCCTGCTTGGTGAGGCCACGTGCAAACCAGGGACACGCCACAGAGGAAGTGCCAACAGCTACGTGCAGTGTACAGGAGACGTAGGGGTGGGAAGAACCTAGAGGAAAGCAAGAAAGGCTTTATGAAGGAGCTGAGGTGTGACCTGAACATGAAGAATGGGATCAGTTCCCCTGCAGAAGGACAGTGGGACACGAAACTCAGGGCGTTGTTATCAAACACTGAGGCATAAATGCTGGGAGCTATTCCTGAAGTGTGACCAGAGAGCAGGTTCTTGCATGGAAGGGATAGGTTGGTGTTAGACTGTAGATGGCCTTGAATGGCAGGGGAGTGTGTAGAGGAGTTTTTGTACCTACTGAATCAGAGAATGAAAATAACTGTGTCTTAGAAAAATTAAGAGTAGCAGCTGTGCCAGAAAACTTAGGCAGTTCAATGTAGGCAAAATTTTCAGAGAATTCTGTAAGACATTGCTATGTGATTATCATCGTTGGGACTCACGATTCTAATAGCTGTGGAGTTTCCGGGACAGTCCAGGTGGCCATGATATCTGAAAAGTTAAGAGACAAAAACAAAAGCACAGTGAGATGTGGAACACCGTATATTGACTTCTAGGAGGCAATGAAACTCCTTGGTACCCATGAAGGACTGTCCTGTCTACTAATATTTAGCCAAGCTGACCTGATCTTGACTAAAAATGAAGTGAAAAAAAAAATACTTGCCAATCCTGCTTACTTTTTAAAAATAACTAATTTTTCAGTTTTTCAGTATTTTCTTAGCAGCTTCTGTATAACCAGCACCTCTGTCTCTGACCTCTCCCTGCACAACTTGAGTAGCTTCAATTTTCTCTCACTTCCTCCATATGAGCCCCCCTGAAATCCAGACGGATTGAGAACCAGGTTTCCAAAAGACAGGAGTGATGAGTGGTTCCTTGCTGAGACATCAAAGCAGGGGAGCTGGCTGATTAAGAGGGGACTGCTCTTGCATAAATTGTGGAGTTGCAGTGGACTCCTGGATGCCTGCTTTGGAATATGTCAAGCCACGTCAGCTCCGAGGAGAACATGACTCTATGTTTCCACGTTTTTCTCTTTATCTCTAGGAGAATTATACCTCTACTGTGAAGTGGAATCAAGTTCTACATTGGAGTTGGGAATCTGAGCTCCCCTTGCAATGTGCAGCCCACTTTGTAAGAATAAGGAGTATAGTGGAGGTGGATGATGCCACAATCCCCAGACAGATGTCCTGGAGCAATTGGAGTTCCTGGGAGAAAGTAGAAGGTAAGACATGAGGTGATAAGGGAGGGGATAGAGTTAATAATTTTTTTTGGCATCAGTAAGTGGTGGAAGTCCCCCTTGAGGAACTTTGAGTTCAATTGTGTTTTTGACTCCCGCAGGACAGAATCCCCCTGGACATGAACAATTGGTGATTTTCCCTAAAGACAGGACAGTGGAAGAAGGCTCCAATGTCACATTTTGCTACATTTCTAGAAGCCACCAAGAGAACATATCATGTCATTTGGAGGGAACATGGATACATGGAGAACAACTTGATCCAAATGTAACTGTGTTCACCCTGAATAATGTGCCTTTCATTAGAAACACAGGGACAAATTTCTTTTGTAAGGGGGAAGACGATGATATTTTGGATGGCACCGTTCTCTTTGTTGCAAGTAAGTAAGGGACTTGTCCTCTGTGCCCCTCCCCTTCCCATTTCCTGTGAAATAGGTGGAATCTCCTGTACCAGATGACAAGTAAACATTTTCAATCTCTACTTTATTGTTTTCCAAGACTTCTATAAGACTGGAGAGTCTAGGACAATGCTTGCAGGATTTCCCGTTGTTTTCTTGAGCTTCCTGACAAGTTTATTCCTAGGAACCAAGAGGATTTAAGAGGAGAAAGTTCAGGTCATGACCTGGTCCCCTGAGAAAATTTCCTGATTTGCCTTAACCATGCAGGATTAGCACAAGATCCAGAGGGATGGAGGGGCTGCAGTCAGAAGGCTAAGAAAGACAGCTAAGGCTGTGCCCTGAAGACTGGGGTTCAGTCTTCTTCCTGAGTCCTGTACCCTGCATGGTATCTTTGCCAAGTTTCCAGTCTCTGAGTCAGTTTCCTCTTCTGTGAAATGGCCCCAGTAATTGAGGTTGTGAGGCTCAATGAGCATGGCAGGCCTGGCTCCAGTACAACTGCGCATAGTAGGAGTTCTGCAAACAAGGCCATGATGACTGTGCTCAACTGGTATGGACATCATGAGGTGCACCAACAAATGTTGGCCAATATTTCACTCTTGATGTAGGTTGGTGAGCGCATGCCCAGTGGCCTCCTGTGTTGAGACCTCCCTGCCCTGCACAGTAGGGAAATATCTGTGACTCCTTCTTCCCTGTTTTCCTACCAAAGGTTGTCCCCAGTGTCCTGGACACTTAGTTCATCTGTGGGTGGCTTCTAAGAGTGGCCATGACTCAGGGGACTTGGGCTTCTGCCTCATTGCTCGGACTCTCAGCTCCCGGGAGATGTGTTGACCAGGTTCTCAAAATCTGCCTGGCTCCTTGGTGTGCCCAGGAGAGCTCCTGGTTCTGTCAGCCAGGGCAGCCAAAATGAAACACCGGGCACCCTTGACTCCATCCATTTTTTCCACTGAATGGAGACAGTGCTGACTCCTATCTGATCCTCCATGAGACCTCAGAAAGGCACAGGAAAGGGAAGAAAAGAACCCAGGTGATGAAGAGTCTGAGATGTGACTTTTTAGAGTTGTGATGTGTCACCTTTCGTTCATATGATCCTTTCATTGTTCAGAATGGGCTCAGGCCCCAAAGAGAGCTTCCTGTGACTTGTTTTCAATAAAGGGCTTTAACTAGACCTTTCTTCTTTTTTATTCGAACAGAAGTGCTTGAGGAACCCAAGGACTTTTCTTGTGAAACCCAGAATTTCAAAACTTTGAACTGTACTTGGGATGCTGGAACCGACACTGCCTTGCATAACATGCCTTCCCAGAGCTACACTTTATTTGAATCGTAAGTTAGCACTGCTTATGTTACTGGCACATTTTTATTTAAGGTGTTTGTGATATCATACAAAAGTCACATCTAGATGTTGCAGAAACTTCAAACAAATATTTTAAAAGCACCCTGCCATAGTCAGGAGAAAATCTTCAAGTAGTCACAAGTGTATGCTATTTCTACCTAACTTTTGTTTAAAGATAATGTAACATAAAAATGATAATAAAGACAGTGGTGAATACTGATGTGAAAACAGTTCCATCTGATGAGCTGAGTCAGCCTAAGTTCTGACTCTTCGAGAATATTCCACGTAAATATAAGGAGTGTTCTCACCACACGAGAGGGAGTCAATTCTTCGATATACCATATAAATCATTTTCATTGAAGCAATATTTTCATGGTTACTATTTGTTGGAGATGGATCAGTCATATTTGTGAACTTAGTTTTAATGCCACTCAGTGTGCCCCCAAGAGATACAGAGAGACACACCTGAGCCAGCAAAAGTGTAAACCTTAAAATTGTTTTGTTTTGTTTTAAGAATTTCCGGGAATAAGAAACTTTGTGTACACAAAAACTGGTGTAATTGGCAAGTAACTCAAGACTCACAAGAAATGTATAACTTCACACTCCTGGCCAGAAACCTCTTAAGACAGAGAAGTGTCAATATTGCTTTTAACCTGGCTCATCGAGGTGAGAGGAGAGTCTGGTAGCCTCTGTGGTTACCAGTGTATCTTTGGTAGCCTATGTGTTTAAATAAACATGCTGCAGAATTTTGCTGAATTCACATCCTAAGTAAAAGTTTTAATTTATAATTCTTCTTCATTCCATACTTCTCTTTGTGGATGTACGTGTGATCCATGATCCCCTGTGATTTGTTGGTTTGGATAACATAATAAACACCAATGAGCTTGTTTCTCAACATTGAAAGTAGAATTTTGACAATAATTTCTTTCATCTCCCATTCCACCCCACTCCTTCCACCAGTATAATTGCAGGTTTAAATTGTGTGTGTATTTTCATTTTTCATGTAATACTGGAAACACAATGTTTTTGTTTGGTTATAATGTATAAAAGACATCAAGTTGTATGTGATAATCTATTAATTCCTTTTTATATAATATTTAATTGATAAGATTTACCCACATTATTGAGTATTGCTTTTGTTCATTCTTTTTCATTGCTGCATAGTATTTCATTGTATAAATATATACAACGTTTTATTCATGCACTTCCTTTGATGGATTGAATCAAGGTTTTTGCTCTTTGCTACAATGCTAATCTGAGCATTTGTGTGTGTGTATATACACACACTTAGTATACATCTATACATGTTTTTCTTGATTACATATATAAAAGAGTAGAATCTGCAAGAACATAGAAAATGTGAATGTTCAATTTATGAGATTATGCCAAATGATTTTCTAAGTAGTTACCCCAGTTATACTACAGCCCTTTAGATTTATGCATTCTGTTTAAGTTGGTATTGTCACCCTTTTCATTTTTGTCAATTAAATGAGTACAAAATGACATTTTATGATTTTGATCACATGTCCTTGAAGATAAAGATCTCTTCTATGTTTTCACTGTATCTGACTGTATCTGTATCTGACTCCTCTTTGATGAGAAGTAGAATCTATACATACCCATTTTTTTTCTGGGACGCTCATTTTTCTCCTTTTGCCTTTTTAATTCCTACATATATTTTATATTCAGCTTAATCATGACTTTATTCAGTCAACTCATTACAGAGTGCCTTCAATGTAGCAGACACTGAGGATACAGCAGTGAACAAAACTGAATAACTTCCCATAATTAGCTTACATGTTAGTGAGTGTTGGGGTAAGGGGTGGAGTGAGAATGGGGAGTAGAAATACAGTAAACATGTAAATAAGTCAATATAAAAATCTCAAAACTCGACATGTACTGTGAAGAAAAATAAATTTTAGTCCTGGGAATGTCTGAGCTGCTTCTTCTATAAAGAAAAGCTTCACAGAAGGAATGGCCAAAAACTCCCCAAACCTGGTAAAATACAAAAATCTACAGATTCAAAAAGCTCAAGTTAAAACCTCAAAAAGGATAAAAATCAAAGAAACCCTACAATGCAGCCTGAGTGGTCTTTCAGCACAATACCTGAGGGAGCTGAAGCATGAGGAGGGAGAAAACATCTAGATGAAGGACATTTGAAGCAAAAGCAATAGAATTTTAAAAGGTCATGGGTTGGGGACAAGGTCTGGGTTTTTAGAGAGACAGAAAGAAGTTCCTTGTGTCCTTCCTGTGAGAGAGAGAAGATTGTAGTGGCAGGCAGTGGCCTGATCAATGTGAAACTTGACACCACATTTGAATGGGAAGGTGTTAATCAGGACCCATAAATGATGTGACTTCCTCTGTAGGAACAAAATCACTCAGACTGCAGTGTAGGCATTCTTCGATTTTATCCTCTTTGAGATTTTAACTTGAGCTTCTTGAATCTGTAGATTTTTGTATTTTACCAGGTTTGGGAAGTTTTTGACCATTACTTTTTCAGCATGACACATTTTCTCCTTTTTTTCTGGGGCTCTAACAAATGTTACAATTTTTCTTATTGTCCCCTGTGGCTTTAAAAGATTGATTTTTAAAAATTCTTTTGTCTCCCTCTTGTTTATATCTGATCATTTTTAGAGACACCCAAACACATTTTTTTTTCCATGATCTCCCAGCTACCTTTCTCTTACTCTGGAACAATATTTTGATTCTTCAGCCAGCAATCGGGCATGATAGCTACCCATGTGTGGCACTGACTTCCACTCCTATGCCAAGTGTTAGGAAGACTGATAATAAAATGTCAGCTCACTGCCAGTTCAGCAACTTCGTGTCTAGCTTTCTTCCGCCTACCTGCCCTTCTTCAGCAGCTGCTCCATGCTCTGTGCATGTTGTGGTCATTGGGATAGCCTGAGTGGAAGGAGCTTTCTCCATCTTTCCAATACCTGAAACTCAACCAGTCTTATTTCAGATATTCTGTTTTTCAGTTCTTAAATTTCCTTGTGATTCTTTAAAAAAAAAAAATCTTTTCCTTCTGAGAAGTGTTTTCCTTCTATTCATGCCAGATGCACTTTTGCTTCATGGATTGGCTTTAAAGTCTTTAACTAGTAACCTTGAGGGAGCCATTACACTCAGTGGGTTGTTCTGATGTTGCATCAATTGATTGCCTTTCCTTTGGAAACTGGTGGCTTTCTGGGTTTTCTTTTTTTGTCAAATAATGTTGAATGGTGCCCTTGCTGTTGTTGACATTGTCTGGGGTAGCCTCGGTTTCTGTCATATTCTCCCTTTGGGCTGCTTCTCCAAGTTTTGACTCCTCTATGATCTGCCTCTAATTTTAAGAGTTTCAGGTAGTTTCATTTTGTATTTGGTTCATTTTTTACTAAACTCAGTATGAGAGAAGGGCTGTCATTGACTTACTGCATCTTGACTCTAAGTCTGGTTTTGTTTGCCATTTTCCCAAGAAGAAGCAAGAAGTGCATATGGAATAAATCAATGAAGAATTGAATTGCCTATTTACCAAGGTTGTTTAATTTTTCTTTTGCTTTGTTCCCTTTTGTGTATTTGTTTTGACAGTTCATCCCAAGTCTCCCTTTGATTTATTCATTAAAAACAACAGTGCCACAAAAGCCACCGTGACCTGGAAGGTGCACTCCATTGGGAATTATTCCACACTCTTGTGTCAGGTCGAACTCTGCGACAAAGGAGAAGTGATACATGTAAGAACGCTGATTCATTTTCTCTTTTTAACAGTCCCTTTATGTCCTGAGTGGAGACAATTTTTAAACAAAATCTCTTTAAGCTATTTTCATGTGGGTTCAAATGGTGTGGTTTACCTGTTTTTAATTTTTAAAAAGTCTTTGTAATTAATCACAGGCTTTTGAGGGCTGGGGAGAAGGCCTTAGACATTTTATTTTCCCCAAGAAGAACTAGCCTTTTTCCAGGTAATATTTGTCATAGTGTGATTTGCCTTTGCAATGAGGTCTGCTCACCAATACTTCTGTCTTCTTATTTCCATCCTTTTTCTGCCTTTTATTTTTTTAATCAAGAGGCACAATGTTTCTGTGAAGGTTAATGGCAAATATGTCTTATGTGACCTGGATCCCGACACAGAGTATATGGCCCGAGTACACTGTGCTGATGCCAACCACTTCTGGAAATGGAGCAAGTCGATTAGTCAAAATTTCACCACACTTGAAGCTGGTATGTTCATCTCCCTGACATTTCATCCAAGGACTTAAACTGACTCACAGGAGATGGGCTGGCTTCCCTGGGCATTTGAAGTTGTACCAAACACTAAGGGGGAAGTATCACAACAGAGACTCAATGCCATCTTGAAAAAAAAAAAATCTGAACTAAACACCCATGAAAAGTGACTAGTATGATAGGACCTCAAACACTTGCCTCCAGTGTTCTTTCTACTGTCCAGTTTCTCTCTGAGCTTTGCCTTTGCCAAAATGGTTGGCAAAATCCAGCTGCTACTGCTGGATTCACATTGGATCTGGGGTGAGGCAAATAAATTTTTAATTCACAACCAGAAGCAAATGGTAGTGTTCATGGCAAGGAAAACATTGCTTTCATATCAAACAATCTCAGGCTTTCTTCTAGCAGCCATCAGTGAGTCCTTACCACCATGCTCTCTATGGTAATCTCCTCAATATCGACTCAACAAAGAATCTTTCCTCTAAATAACTGTGTCTCAGAGCTCCAGTAAGGCCTCCGCCATTCAGATGGTCCAGCCCTCCTTTCGTCTTCTTGCAATTCAAGATAAAGTCTTACTTAATGCTTGGCGTAAAGGCAAGGTGACTAGGGCCATTGATTGGAGAGACCGGCCTAGTTTGCAATGTTAATGAATGGCAGAAACATGACAGCAATAATAACAGTAAACACAGATTGAGTGTTTGGTAAGTGCCAGACTTAGCTCAAAGACTCACTGTTTTAATCTTCCCAGCATGCAGTAGATATTATCATCCCTGCTTTGAGGCTGAGGACATTGAGGCACAGAGAAAGTAAATAACTGAACTGGTCTAGCCAGCGAGTGATCGAGCTGATCCTGCCACTCACACGGGGGCGGTCTCACCCCAGCGCTCCACCCACATAATCTGGTTTTTTGCGTTCCACCTCTTGGTGGTGGTGTTACAACCGTGTTGCAAGTCCTGGCTATTTTATTACCAAAGGAAGGATTTTATGTATTGGTTTTCCTCCTTCTTGCTATTTGTGTTTCTAGACTGGCAGGGCTCTTCCTGGCCTCCCCTAAGAGGGACTCTCACTGGGTATCTTTAGGGTGATTGATCGGCGATCAATCGGCGATTGACCGGTCCCACATATGGGACCAGTCTTGAGTGGCTCCCCTGCTTGTCCACTGTTCCTGGCCACTCCCTGGCAATTTTTCCTAGGTGTGTAGACGTCTCAAGAATTCCTGCTGCTGCTGATAGTAACATGGATAGTAATAGCTCTGTTGTTTTTTGTTAAAAATTTTTACTTTACAAATACCACTTTGGTTTGTGGTATTTCATTTGTTTGTCCCATGCAAATTAATCACAAACATTACAACTATAATTAAATGCAAGAGGAAAATGGTCAAGGGATCAAGTTTTTAATACACTGTGTTTCTTGGGGTTATAATAAAATAAACTTAACTTTGTTTGGGATGATGACAAGAAAATGAAATGAATCTACTGATGGTGAATTAATTGATGTTTTTGGAAGTAACATGGCATACATTATGTAAATTTTAGGTGTGCATCGTTAAAAATCAACATCTGTCTATACTGCATTAAATTTACCACTGAAAGTCTAATTTATAGATGTCTTTAAACTTTGCCTCTGAAAAAATTTAGTTTAATGCAGAAAAAGTCCATGTTTATGTATACAATAGTCATACTTCAGTAGAATCATAATGAGCAGGGTTAAATGACCCCAGAATTTTGTGACATCGATGCATGCATTCACTGTACTCAGTGCTTTCTTCTCATAGTTCGGATTTACTGACCAGCTAAAGATTTTCCATTGAACTTGGAGTCCTATATTGGACCTGAGTATTTCTGTGTTTTATTTACTCTTGATACCTGCAGTAGCTTATTTAACAAGCTAAAACCTCCTGCAGTAAAGCTGCTTTAAATTGTATGGTTGGGCCTCCCTGGTGGCTCAAGGGGTTAAGCACCGCACTATGAAGCTGTCTGCAGCCTCTGCAGCAGGAGTTTGATCCCCAGCCCGCCAGGGAGCAACTCACATGGCGCAGCAGACCTCTCCTGCCTTGCCCGCTGTGGCCCTCAGCAGTGTTTCAGTCAGTCTGCCTGTTCTGTTCCCCGCTCTGTCTCTGGTGAACCCTCTCACCCCTACCCCCAGCATCTCTGGCCTGTACCCCAGTTCTTGTATGCATAAATAAATAAATCTTTAAAAAAAATAAACTGCATGGTCACCTTTAAGTTGAAAGTGCCAGAGATTCAAAGAAAAAAGGACTTACTTAAATTTCAATTACTGATACAAGCTTTGGAGTAACATTTCACTCTTCCATACATGCACGTGCTCCCTCACCCTCCTCCAAACCCCCTCTGCCTCCCATCCCCTCCCCCCCTCCCCCCCACCTGTTCCCTCTGGTAGCCAGTACGTTCTTTCACTGTGTTCAAGATTTATTCCCTAATGTATTTTGCCTGTGTACATGTTGGGGTTATTTGTATTCCACAGGTGAGAGAAACCATTTTTTTTTTTGTAAAACAGAGGGCTGCATTCTTAGTGTTATGTTCCAAAACAATTCTTGCAGAGAGATGTTTTGAAACAAGTCACAAATAACTGGCCCCCCAGTTTACTGTCAAGAACAAGGAGGCAAACTTGTGGCAGCTGCCCAGAGGGACCACAGCCGCCATCTGCCCCAGCCCTTCGGCTACTACTCCAGCCAAGGGGCAGCTGAATTGAGGTCATGACCCCGTGGATGCGGATGCATGGATGCGTTCATCCTGCCCTCGGGCTCTCCCTTTGTGAGCCTTTCTTGCAACCTTTGCAAATTGGCTGAGGAAGTAGCCATGGTCTGCTCTTAGAAATTAAAAAAGTGGGAAATTTAGCTAATTAACCTTCTGATGAATTATTTCAAAATTGTTGGTGTCCAGAAGACTAAGACTTTAGTTCATAAAGACTCATTTTTCAACAGACCTTTTGTAAAGCACCTGCCATGCATCTAGTGAGGCATGGACAGTGTGGCCTTGGAGAAGTGGGGGGAAGTCACAGAGTGCACATGTGAGAAGCAAGCCTCAGGAAGGACAGGCATCGCTACTTCCTTGACCAAAGCAGAACAGGATTGAATGTTCTGCCCTCTACACATATCGTGACCCAAGAATTTTTCTTTGTTTATTTTGGTTAATCTTAGCCCCCTCGAAGGCTCCTGATGTCTGGAGAAGGGTGAAATCAAAGCCAGGACAGCACGAGGTGACTTTATTCTGGAAGGTGAGAGGCACAGATTTGCTTGGCACTGTATCTGAAACTATGAAATGGGTGTTGGTGCAAGTCTTCTGCGTGGGCTGGTTTTCACAGGAGTCCAATAGAATGTCTTGCCCACTGGTGGAGTCCCTGTGCCACACCCACGTCCCTGGTGCTGGGGCCAGCAACTCCTCCCTCGGAAGCCCATGGCACCGTGGCCATGTGACTGTTAGAACCTGCATCTCAGTAACTTCTACTCAGGTTTCTCCCTCTAACTTTTGCAGGGCCCAGGGCGGGAGCGTAAGTGAAGAGAAGTACATACCATGTTTAAAAGTTATGACTATTCATACACCCAGAGTAGATATGTTGAAAAGTCATGAATCAAGCTAAAACACTGTAACACAAATTGTATGTGGGCCTTCCACCTTGACTTACATGCCTTCATGCATCCTGTGAGGCCAGGTTTGTATTCAGAATTCTCTGTTCCTTAGTGTTTCATGCCCAAACATGATGGTGTTGGGGAACTGCTCTGGCCAGAGCCACCCCACTTTCCTTCCCACCTCTATCTGGCCCACCCATGAGGACTCCTGAGTACATACCTGTGGACACGTTAGTCTGCCCAGGTTCTGTTTACACCCAAGCAAACAACCACGCCCTAGGCAGTTCTCAGATCTCGGGGTGCATCCACCAGGGATGCTGTCTGTCCTTGGAATGGGAGGCCCATGGGACAGGTCCTGGAAGTGGGTTTGGGACTCTGTGTGCAGGGAATTCTCTGCAGCCTGGAGGGTGGTCTAGAAGGGGGATGTGGCTCTGGGTCTAGGGGCTATAACCATGAGAACAGCTAGAAGAGGGAGTCAGCCTGGAGCCAGGCCTGCTGGGGCCTGCTAGGGGTGCTATTTTCCTCACATCTTTCACTCTTGTGCCACTGAGTCTTTCTTAAACCAGACTGAAGAGTCCCCTTCCTCTATATTCCTGACTTGGCCTCTCTTTTCTAAACACATTCTGCTCTTGAGAAGCTCATGTCCAAACAAACCCATTGTCTACTCAGCTTCAGTTAGATTAGAATCCCCAGGACTTCAGGCCTGGTTTGAAGGGTTATTTTCTCTAATGAACTGTTTTAATTTGCGGCTACGGAGGGGTGTGTGTGTGTGTGTGTGTGTGTGTGTGTGTGTGTGTGTGTGTGTTTAAGGCAGTTGAGAGACAGAAGAGATGAAAAAGTAATTATAAAACTCCCCTTCTGAGGAAAACACATTTTGAAACTATTATCAATTTTTTTTAGCCATTCTCAAAATTGCACGCCAATGGGAAGATTCTATTCTACAATATAATTATAGAAAATCTGGACAAATCATGTGAACTACCACCCCTCTCCATTCCTGCTTCGGCCAGTAACGAAACATTAACCCTCGACCTGTCTTCTTACCGATTCAACATCACAGCTAATAACAGTGTGGGCATGTCTCCTGCTTCAGTCATTGTCATTTCTGGAGACCCTGAAAACAGTAAGTCCTATTTTGTTTTGTCTTTATTCTCAAGGAAAACATTGCTGATGTTATTAGGTAGATGGATAAACTCAAAAGATGGTAACTCAGGGAGGCAAAATATCTAGCTACTAGGCACTGCTGTTCATTCTCCCTCAGGGTTTTCAGTGGAGGGAGCATGAGATTTCAGCCAGGCCTCAGTCGTTACTGCCCAGAGACTCTTCCACCACCTCGGAAGTTGTCTCAAGTGTACTCAAGTAAATGCAGCACCGGCAAAGCGTCCTTACTAAGAGCTAGAGTCAGTGTGAATGTGCTGGGCTTATGAAATAAGAGTTGCATTTATTCTATAGCAAAATATTTTGTCAGACTTTGCAACCTATAACAAGCTTGTTAACATTTCCAGAGATCACAAGAGTCTGGGCATCATCTTTCATGAGGTGCTTTGCTGGGTTGTAGAATAAAAGGTGATAACTGGCTAATCCCTTACCAAACAAGGTGGAAATGACCGTATGTGTAAAATCAACAGTGATATTAATTTCCTTCTTGGAAAGCTGTCAAGAGGTTGGATACACTAAGCCCTCTCCCCCAGCTGTAACACACTGAGTCAGTGCACACTTGGACACAATACATCTGGCAGGAGAAGGTCTGTAATGAACCTTACAATAATGTCTTGCTTCTGTTACTGCTATTAAAATTTTCAGACTTGCTTCTGTTATTGCTATTAAAATTTTCAGACTATGCTTATGAAGTGAAGGTCAGTTGTATTACTCCTATCATTCAAATTAGGCTTAAATTTGGGGTAAGTGGGCTAGATAAGAGGATGTTTTAAAATGACCCAATATGTCAAGTATAAAAGAAATTAAGAGTGTGGCATCAAAGAAATACTAAGGATTTGATATAATCTTGCTTGTTAGGAACTATATTAGAGGAGGAAATGTATAGTTGTATTCTGTCTTCATTAGGGACAGAACAGAAAAAGTAGACATTTTATTCTCCTGAATTCACCTTGGGGAGCTGATAGGTAAAAGAAAGACTGCCTCACCTGAAGCCCAGTTCAAACACGGCTAAGCAGTATTATTTGTTTTGGGGTCTTCTCTGCCTATGAATTACTAGCATATTTTCCTTCCCCATGCCCTGCTTTCAAATCCAAACCATTTCCTGTGAGTCTCTATCCAGACTTCCTTAAGTAATCTACCTTCTTAAATAACTAGTGTGAATAATGTCACTATTGTGCCATGAGGTAATCTGATAAGATTAGGCCAATTTATACTAACATGTAAATGGCTGAAAAGATTCCCTATCTTTTCCTTCTACCTCCATTCCTCAAAACATATTTACCATTTCTAAGAAGCAGCTTAATACACATTACGATTCTAAGTTCAGAGTGAAATTTCAATTGGTATGTATAAGTGAGGTGGGAAATTGTCCACTTCAATGTGAAAGAGATGTGTTTCTTTGATGGAGAAAGACCAGGCTGGCCATTTAGGAAAGATATTCTGAGAGCTTGGCGAATCCTTTGCCTAGTACTGAGAGCTTCACATTCCTTTGCGTGTTCCCAGTTGAATAATAACTTGGTGGCCTAGAAAATTTAATAGCTCTGTGTTTACACATCAGGATTGCTGTAATTAGGATTGCCACATAAAATACAGATGCCCAATGAAATTTGAATTGCAGATAAACAGTGAGTAAAGTTTTAGCTTAAGTCTATTCCATGGAATAGTGACTTCACACTTAAAATGTTTTTCTAAGCTGCTGCCTGCAGGCCCAGGCCCTGACCAGGCTGTGAAGTCAGCCTTGGGCTGTAAGAAAAATTCTCATCCCTCAAGGCCTCAGCTGATTCCTGAAATCAGTATAAAGGGTAGCCCACTGAGGCCATCTGAGTTTTTTTCTTATCATCGGACTTTAGGAAAACTACTCTGATATAGAAAATATGTTGAAGTGGTGGCTTTGACCACAAGAAGCAGGCATGTCCTTGAGTAATCTGACTTACTGCGTATCTGGATTGCTTTTTCTTTCTTTGTCCTCGACGTCTTCCCATAACATCTCAGAAGTCACACGTACTCCAGGGGCAGCCTGCATTATGTGGAGAAACTAAGCTGAATTATTTGTCCGGTTAAAGGTATTTTTCGAAAACAGATCAAGTAGCAAACACGGTTCTAGGTCAGAAGTCAGAAAGCAACATTTTGGGTCAAAGAGACAGATAGTAAATATTCCAGGCTTTTGCAGATCATAGTGTCCATTCCACAGTCCGTGTTCTTCAAGCGGTCGGTTTGCTTTTACAGCTCTTTAAAAGTATTAAAACCAAAAGCGTCAGGATCATATAAAAATAAATAATAAGCCTGAGGGCCTCCCTGGTGGCACAAAAAGTTAAGTCTCAGCACTACGAAGCTATCTGCAGCCACCACAACACAAGTGTGATCCCCAGCCAGGGAAGTGACCCACATGGCACAGCAGACCTCTCCTGTCTCACCTGCTGCTCCCCTCAGCAGTGTATTTCGTCAGTCTGCCTGTTCTGATCCCCACTCTGTCTCTGGTGAATCCTCTCACCCTCCTGCACATCTGGCCTGTACCCCAGTTCTTGTATAAATAAATACATAAATCTTAAAAAAAAAAAAAAAAAAGCCTAAGAGGCTGCATCTGCTGGTGGTTTGTCAAGCCTTGTTTTAGGTGCTAAAGTCGACTTGGGTCTCAGGTCTGGCTGAGGGCCCCCTGAAGGCAGGTATGAGTATTTTCTGCGAAGCCAAAGACTGGGAAACACCCGTGAAAACAGACCCCGTCCAAACCTTGTTGTCAATAAAGTGTTAGGGCTCTTGCCTGTTAGATGCGTGCAACCATCCCAGGCCAGGTATGTTCATTGTCGATACTCACAGGCTGAAAGAGAATTTTGGAGACTTCGACAGATTTTTTTACAGGCTTTTAATGCTGAGTGAGGGAATAGACCAGCTTTCCCTGTCAGCCTCTGCCTGGCATTCTCCCCCTCAGTCTCGTGTGATCTTGTAGCCTCATTGCAGAGTGACGCACCTTTTTGTCCCTCACCTCTCACACAGGTGCCCTCACTTACACATGCGCACCCGGTGGGCCCACGTGTCCCTCATCATAGGTACGTGTGCCCCTTGTCTGCACTGCTCCGCCCCAGGCATCCACGCAACCCAGGAGGAGGGCGAGACCGCAGGTGCCGGCCATATAGGCCAGCAGCGGGAGGATGGAAAAATGCCTGATTGACTTCATTCACCTCCACATTCAAATTCTTTTTTGACACTTCTACAAAATACACAATTAGGGCCTCCCCGGTGGCGCAGGCGGTTGAGCGCCACACTGCAGAAGCAGTCCGCAGCCTCTGCAGCACCAGTTAGATTCCCGGCCGGCCAGGGAGATACCCACATGGCGCGGCAGACCTCTCCTGCCTCACCCACTGCTCCCCTCAGCAGTGTCTTTGGTCCATCTGCCTGTTCTGCTCCCCACTCTGGCTCTGGTGAATTCTCTCACCCTCGCGTGCCTCTGACCTGTACTCCAGTTCTTGTATAAAATAAATAAATAAATCTTTAAAATACACAATTAAATCTGAAGTCTTGGTATCTCTGTACCATATAGAAGATGTGGAAGAAGAGAGAGTTAACGGTACAGAGGAAGGAATCTCTTTGTCCTGGAAGCCCCCGTCTGGAGATGTGCTGGGCTACGTTGTGGAATGGCACGCGTGTCCCTGGCACCTGGGCTGTGATCCCCAGTGGAAAAACCTGGGCCCTAATACCACACACACAGTCATCAGCTCAGGTAAGAAGAAACTTCCATATTACTGACTTGTTTTATCCACCTCATAGCACATCCAGCCAGGACTTCTGGGCTGCCTCACGGATACAAAGTTGTGCTAATCATTTTGAACTTAAAAATCCAACTTAGGTGCTAAGAGTTCACATTTTACAATGATGTGACCTAAGATAGGATCTTTAATACTCTTACAAGAACAGCTGGAACTCAGCCTAAGAGCAGTTTGCATGATTGCGCTGAGTTTTTCCCTCTAAATGAGTCATCTCAAAGGAATGGCAAAGGGCCATTCCAACTGTTGTCCAGAGGGTTTTTGCAAAATCAAAGAAGTGCATGGATTTGGGGGATGTTTAGGACGTAGAGCTGATGGGCGTTAAGCATCAAATCTTCAGTGTCAGAGGAACATATAGAACTTGCCCTCTCACCTTCACATTGGGCTTGTAATTTCAAACTCACTAGATGAGCAAAGTCAAAGGAGCCAGGTTTCTGGGGGGAACCGGGGTGTGAGTGGCGCCATCTGGTGGGCGCTGTGGTGGTTGCAGAGATAAGCTGAGGAAAGGGGAGAGAAAAGGCAAAGCGAAAAAGCAAGTTGCTAGAGTAGGAGGAGAGTTTAAAAAGGTTTTCTGCGTCTTGTCAAATCCTGCATGTGGATAAGGGCGTGTTGGAGGGCTCAGGCTCAAGAGGACAACATGCAAACATACATATGTATGTTTCTTTGGACAACATATGTTTCTTTGGAGACAGTGGGACACTCCAAGGGAAGACGGTGAAGACCAAGGACAGAAACCCCTTGTTGTGCAAGCAGACACAGGGCAGGTTCACTATCAAGTCAGGCAGAAGGATAAAGGACAGTCCCGTAGCCCTTTGTGGATTTTTCAGGCTTTAATGCTCTCAGGAAACCAGGTACACAGGCACACCAGGCAGGAGGCTGGCATGCAAGAAGGCAGGCATGGGCCAGGCAGTATGTGTGTGTGTAGGGAGGGTGCGGGGGGGAGAGGCTGGGAGGCAGGCAGATAACTGAGCCTCCCAGCCCCCCACGAATCTTTACTTTCTCTGGGCTCTCTCGCGTTCTCTTGTGGTCTTGCCTCTAATATAGTTCTCTTCCTTTCGCAGCCATCCTCTGAGTGACACCACCCTATAGCCCTGGCCTCTAGGCTCAGGTGTGCACAGTCATGCATGCCCACACCCATACTCAGTTGTCCACAATCAGGCCGCGTGCCCCACGCCCACGCACCCAAGTGTCTTCTGCATTAACACTATCAAGGCTGCAGGTGATAGTCACAGAGGCCAGTGGCGCTAAAAGCCTGATTAATGCATTTACCCTCACCCCTGGGAGGAAATTGTGAAGGAGGAACACATTAATTTATATTCTTTTCCTTTCCAGAAACAAAGAGAATTTTACTCTGTATTGAAAATATGTTGATTTTTCTTCTTTAGATGCTTTTAGACCAGGGGTCCGATACAAGTTTAAAATTTATGGAATTTCTACAAAAAAGCCTGCTTATTTATTAGAGAAAAAAACTGGATACTCCCAGGAACTGGGTAAGTTGAAATGTTTAATGTGTCACGGGCAGACTTGTTCAAAGACTCCTAGTTTTGGGCTTAAGAAGACTTCAGTGTCCCATTCTAATAATTAGATTTTTTAAAACTTACTTTTTATTTTTTTTTAATTTTTTACATCATTGTTCATTTTTAAACAATATTTGCTTCCCCCTACCCCCTCAGGTGTAGTCCCCATAGAGTTTCCTTCCCCAATGCACCCGTGCACCATCACCTCAGTCCCCTGTGCTCCTCCCTCCCTCCCTCTGATCCCTCTCCTTCCTCCTCCCCTGCAGGATGTCTCTGGTTTATAATTGTCTGTTTTTGCTTTGTTGTGTTTTGTACTGTTATTATTTTTTTACACTGATGTCTTATTGGGTTCCCCTATATTCCTGCTATAAGTGAAACCATCCAATATTTTTCTTTTCCTTCTGGCTTATTACACTGAGCATAATTCCTTCTAGCTCCATCCACATTGCTGCGAATGGCATGAGTTTATCTTTTTTGATGACTGAATAATATTCCATGGTGTATATGTTCCACATCTTCTTGATCCAGTCATCTATTTTTGGGCATTTGGGCTGTTTCCAAAGCTTAGCTATTGTAAATTGTGCTGCTATAAACATAGGGGTGCAGGTGCCCTTTGGAATTAATGTTTCTGTGTCATTTGGGTAAATACCTAGGAGTGGAATTGCTGGATCATATGGAAGCTTTATCTTTAGTAGGTTGAGGCATCTCCACACAGCTCTCCATAGTGGTTGGACCAGTTTGCACTCCCACCAGCTACAGGTGTTCTTTTGAATCAATGTTTTTGTGTACTTTGGGTAGATCCTAGTGGTGGAATTGCCGGGTCATATGGTAGCTCCATTTTTAGTAGATTGTGGAACCTCCAGACAGCTTTCCACAGCGGTCGGACAAGTTTGCACTTAATAATCCAAATACAAAACATTTTCACTAAAGATAATCTATAAAATGACTGGAAAAGGAAGACAAAATCATTGCTAATTTTACCACCAAAAACCAAATAGCCAATTAATATTTTATGCTTATTCAGGTATTTTTTTCGGTATATATGTAAACACACACACGTATATAGTTTTGCATGAAATAGACTCTTTGAAGTTTGTAAAGAGTTTTTGACTCATGGCACTAACTACACTTAACTATGTCATTTTTATGATGGCAAAGTGCCTCATCTTTGTAAATGTCATATCACCTGTCATTACAGTTAGGATCATTATGCTTTTCAGCTATAAACTATAAAATTCACCTGCAGGTGTCTAGCAGTCTCCAGTGCTTAATCTCTTTTTCCCTTTGTCTAATACCTTGTGTCCTATGTGAATGAGCATCTTTGCAGCTAACTCTTTGTCCATATCCTACGATAATGGCTTTTAAATGAAATCCTAGTAGAATATTTGAATCAAAAGGCCTGGATTTCTTAAATATTCTTTCATTTCTTTTACCATTTTTAAGACTTTGATACATAGTGTGCCTTCACCTCTAGAAATATTACCAGGATTCCACCAGCAGCACATAGGGCCATTCCGAGCCTCCCGTGGTGTTGCTTATTCACCTTGTCCGGCCTCCAGCATCTCACACCTGCTGGAAGCCCAGCTGCTGGGGCCCTGCTTGCCTTACACTGATCAAATCAACTCTGAAGGCTTCTTCATTCTGTGGTGGGAGCTGTCTGGGACATGCAGGAGGTGTGAGTTGTGAGCATAAACCAGGCATACACAATAGTATGTGGTAAAACAGGTTCAGGACAACCTTCTAGATAAACGCGCCAGGTTTTCCCAATGATACTTGGGTAACTTTGCATTGCCGTGACATAGGAACTGGAGTTCTTCAAATCCTCCCCAACTTACCTCTTTGAACAGAACCCTTCCTGGTCCTCCTCTACCTCCCCACTTCAGTTCTCCTGTTCTCTGGCCTGGTCTTCTCAGAAACCTTATTTAGAATTCAGGACCAGAATTAAGTCTAAGAAAACCTTCATTCTCTGTTTTGCTGTGTGACCTTGTACGAGTTACTGTGTCTCTCTGGGCATCCAGGTATGGCTTGAACAAGAATATTGCTCCACTACTCCCCAGGTTTCATGCACTGCAAGGCATAAATCCCCCATTAAAAAAAAAAAAAAGAAAGATGAAAATTTCTTAACTTGGCAGAAGCTCCTCCAGCCTCCAGTCAACTGTGGGTCCACATTTAGTTTACACAAATGCTCTGAGATGTCTTCTAAATCATGACTCTTTTCTTACCCAACTTCCTTTCCTAGCTCCTTCCGACAACCCCGAGGTGTTCGTGAATGACCTGAAACCCTACTCCTTCACTCTGCATTGGCAGAGGTATTCCGCCAACTCCAGCTCCCAACCTGGTTTTATACAAGGCTACCATGTCTATCTGAAATCTAAGGAGAAACACTGCCCCAGAGGATTTGAAAAGGCAATTCTTTCAGGAAAGTAACTTTAAAAAAAAAAATTTCCTCATTATTTGAAATCATTGAAAAGGCTGCCATCTCTGTCCAGGGCTAGATGAATTCTCTGCTTGCAAGCTTTTCTGATAGAATGTTGCTCTTAAACAATTAGTAGGCCAGACAAGAGAGTGGGAACCAGTGTTGGAAGTGACTTAAAAAACAATGCAGCCTGGTATTTTTAGAAGGACTTGAGGTATCTTTAGCTCCTGAGTGAACCTGCCACTGTGAAGCTTTCTTGCTAACTCCTTTTCTTTGACTCGCGGTACAGGTCATCAGTGTATACCTTAAAGTCTCGCAAACTCTTACTGTCTCTTGTGGATTTATGTGTCTCCCCGGAGCACCAGCATCCCTCGTTTAGTGGGATATTTAGTTGCTTGTCTTGCCATTTCCTGAAAATTTTACCTGTATCCCTAAAGTTTGATGAAATTATAATAAATTTTGGTGGGTTCCCAAAATGTCTGTCCTGAATCCACAAGAGGATTATTACTCAGTGCTCTCTCAAGAGCTCTGTCATACTCTTAATAATTGTTTTCCTTGAAAATCATTTTTTAAAACCACAGATGGTACAGATTGTTGCAAATACAAAATCAGCAACCCGGAACAAAAGACATTGACCGTGAAACACCTGCAGCCGGAATCCGCCTATCAGTTTCTTGTCACCCCATTCACAAGTGTTGGCGACGGTCCTGATGTCCTTTTCACAGAGGTCACAACTCCGGACAATCACTGTGAGTTTTCCAAATCAAAACTCTTCCTTTAGAAGTTCCAGGGAAACTAATTCCATAGCAGTTGCCTTGGACTTTGTCTAGATTTTCTTTTTGTAACTTTTCTTCTCTAGCTTTTGGTCTTTGTAAACTTGTTTCTAGATGAAACTCTTCATCACACACACAGCACAGAACCCCACCACATAAAACAGGTTAAGAGTGAAGCTGGTCTGACTGATGTATAGTCTGGAAACTTTCTCTTGCCTTTATCATAGTTATTCATGTGTGTATAGGAAAATTAGAGTGTAGATAGGTGAAGATCTATCTGTTGTTTCAGGGATCCACAGGGGAGGGGGTGTCTTGAAATTTATCTCCGGATGATTAGGGGGAAATACTGTACACTTTAATAGAAGCTTTATTTACCAAAAGTGATCTGAAATTTGAAAACTGCTGTGGTTAATTCCCCACACTGGTTCTCTAATACGTTATAAATCCATAATTTATCCAAAATTTTAAACCAATTGTAGTCAGCAGTACTGAGCTTGAGGGCAAACTGTTCTTCAGTGGAGCAAGAAGAGGGTTTCTTGCCCTGGTGTCAATGTAAATTTTCCACCCATAGCTGAGGTGCTGGCTTCTGTACCTCGTCTTTGTCTTTCTCTGCAGAATCCTCCACTGGTGTTGGGCATCTACCCAGATCTGCCCTACCTTACAAAACTCCAATGATATTACCACCCTTTCAATCCCAAATCAAACCCTCTTCCTTCCAGGACAGCCTGGTGTTGGAGATGGGGAAGACAAGAAGGCAAATAGAGTAAACAGAAATAAATGAACACCTGAATGATTGTCAGCCTCCAAGCCCTCTCTGTGCAATTGCATTTATAAAAGAGGGTATTTACCAACCCAACTGAATTATCCACTGGTAGACTTTAAATTTAAAATGTCATTAAACTATCTCTCTTTTCCTTCTCCAGCCCATATACTGCTCATATACATATTCCTCATGATTTTCGGGGTTGTGGTGATCATCATCGTATGCTCCCTGAAAAGCCAGTGGTAAGTGTGTCAGGAAGATTTTATCTGAAAAGAAAGTCAAAGAAGGGGCCTCCCCGGTGGTGCAGCGGTTGAGCGCTGGGCGGCGAAGCTGCCCGCAGCCTCTGCAGTGCCGGTTCGATCCACGGCCTCAGGGCGAGGGTCCCACATGCCGTGCAGACCTCTCCTGCCGCCTGCTGCTCCCCTCAGCGGTGTATTTCGTCAGTCTCCTTGTTCTGCTCTCCGCTCTGGCTCTGGTGAATTCTCTCACCCTCCCGCGCTTCTGACTGTACCCAGTGCTTGTATAAATAAATAAATAAATCTTTTTTTTTTTAAAAAAAAGCAAGTCAAAGAAAAGTCTAGAAAGGGGTGTAAGATAAAAATCACATTGAATAATATGAAAAAAAGTGCTAAAAAGGACAAAGGAAGCTTAGATGAGAATATGATTTATTTAACAACATAGCTTTTGAGGTCAATACACAAAGGAAATAACAACACCTAAAAAGACTGCATAACGCATTTAATAGCAACAGCTAATGCTTGGATTTGAACGATGTGTTTGGCAGTGTGCTTAGTGCTTTAGATATAGCCATTCACCTAATCCGCACACTACCACCAGAATTAATTGAATCAATGAGAAAATTCAAGCATGGACGGAGGGTTAAGTAGCTGGCCCAAATGTGTAATAAATGATAGAGCAAGAATTAGATGCCCAGAATTTGACTCCAGAGTTCTTGCTCTTCGGCATTCCACTATCTTGCCAAATCCAGTCTAATTTTCACTTTTTCTAGGATGAAGGAGAAGTGCTATCCTGACATTCCAGATCCTAACAAGAGCAGTGTCCTGTCATTAATAAAATCCAAGGTAAATGCTGGGAAATTGCCTGTATACCATGTACCTATTAAAGACTCATCCAGGGTTGGGGCTGTATAACCATCTTTCCTAGACCGCCACGGGAGGATAGAGCAAAAGCCACACTTCTCCCACCGCCGTGCATTAGGCGGAAGCAGAAGTCCAGCTCCTCTCTTGTGTCAGGGGAAACCCTTTGTTTTCAACACCACCTCCACTCAAATTATGACCAGAATGAAACAGGAACAAAACTGAAGCTCTAAATGCACTTCACCCATTTTATATACTTTAATACTCTCACACACACACACACACACACACACACACACACGCACGCACAGACTATATCTACATATTTTTTGTCTCCCTTCCAGGAGAATCCTCATCTAACAATAATGAAGGTCAACGACTGCATTCCAGATGCTATTGAAGTTATAAACAAGCCAGAAGAGAGTAAGACCCAGTGCTTAGGCACGAAGAAGTCACTCACAGAACCCGGACCTTCTACGCCTGCTTACCTTTACCTCCTCCCAGCAGAGAACTCCTCCTCGGGACCTGGACCGTGTGTCTGTTTTGAGAATTTTACCTATAACCAGGCAGCTTCTAACTCCAGTTCTTGTAACCATGTCCCAGTATCCCATAGAGCCCCACCAAATCAGCTGGAACTACTGACTGCACCTGAACATTTACTAAAGATGCTAGAAAAAAACTACATGAACTCCCTGGGAGAAACCCCTGCTGGAGAAACTAGTTTGAATTATGTGTCCCAGTTGGCTTCACTCCTCTCTGGAGACAAGGATAATCCCGCCACAAACCCCCCAGTGCCAGCACTATGTTCAGAGTATAAAACACAAATGGCCATACCTTTGGGTCTTTCCCCTCCTTAGACAGAGACTAACAGTGCTCCCTCCATTTCCCTTCCATATCAAGGTGAACACTACTGCTGACCAACATCCTCATTTCATACCAATGCTACACAGACACCATGGGACGCATGGCTGACACCATTCCATCATCACTAGACACCTTGGTGCTTATTTCCAGTGAGTTGTCACGGTTTGCAGGTCTCACTTACCTAGAACTGCCACATCTTGCTAGCTTTCCAGGTCCAAAAGCCATGAAACCAAAGTTCTTCCTCGGAGCAGACTTGCTGTTGAAATGGCAGGGTTGTGGGAACAGGCTTGCTTTGCTGCTGTGTGTTCCAGGCCCTGGCACTTGACATAGGCAGAGACGCTGTCCACTCTGTACTGGACAGGACAGGGTGAGCGTGGGTCTAAAAATTCACTTTCCCCTGAGTAACTATTCCCATTAAATTTCACCCCCGTGTTCAAGGTAAAAGGAACTAGATTTAATAATCACGGCCACAAACTTGTAAGTAGATCATCAGTTGTCACTGCTCATTTCCTCTGGATGTTTATGAGCAGGTCACAGATGCCTGAAATGGAAGCCGATTTTAGACTTGCCTAGAAGTAATAAAAATTTGTAGTTCATTGATGCAGTAAAATTCTCTCTTCTGGGGTCATAGATCTTTTCCAGTAGGTAAGAAGCGAGTAAATCCTAAGATTCCAGCTCACCACTGTTAAGAGTGGGACTGGCAAGACCTCCGCCTTAGCGTCAAGACAGTAACACTCCTCTGTAAACACCAGTCTTCTAGCATTTCTTTTTACAACTACCTCAGAATAGAAAAGGGAAAATATATCATTAAACAATTCCTTTCACATTTCATGTTCCCTCTTTTTTTCCCAGAACAACAATGGCATGTTTTCATTTAGCATCCTTAGAACTTTGAAGGAGGTTTTCTAGGTCAAGCATCCTCCTTATAATCTCATTAATAACCCTGGTATGCTAATATAATGAAGCCTCATTGTTGGACATCATTTAGACTTAACTGTAAAAAGTTACATGGAGTGGGAGAGGACAGTACATACCAAGCACCGGGTACTCAACTGTGCTGCTACATGTTAGTTCCTTTCTCTTCCTTCTGCCCATCATCCTTAATGTTATTTACGACATTTCTAAACCAGTACAATAAGGGTTCCTTTTTGTTTGCTGACTCCTGTCAGTGTTGTGGAAATGACTGTGCCTCTAGTATTAACTGCCAGAGAGAGAGAGGCAAGAAGAGAGCGGAGAATGAGAAGAGAGTAGGGGGGTGGGAGGAGATTGTAGAGAGAGAAGCTGGGAGAGGAGAAGAGGGTCTCTATGATTAGAGACCTAATCATACCTATACAAAACAGAACTTCTGTTCCGGTATTTCAATTTTTCCCCTGTGTCTAAACCTTTTGCTGAAAAATTGATTTAGGTACCCCTAATATAGTACAAATGAGTCTCTTGATTATCAGTTTCAAGAAGACTTTAAGGCCAGTATTGTCATTTACCCTCTTTATGTTCCTTTGTAATAATGCAATTATAAATGGACAAGAAATATCAATATTGTTGTAAATAGTATCTTAGATTTTCTGTAAAATGTAATCCACAAAATCTTGGAAGTTATTTTTGTTGCAACAAAACTTAATTGAAATATTTCACCATTGCATTGTTTCTTTATGAACTGAAGATTTAATAATTAGTATTCTGACAAATCACCTCCTGAGTTTACTAAAAATGTATATTCCTGGGTACCACTAAAACCTCCTACCAGGGTACCTATTAAAACCACCTAATCAGAATCACTGTGAAACAAGAATCTACTTATTTTCTGGAATCTATTTTCTTGGCTCTCAGGCATTCAGATGCACACTCAACTTTGAGACTTACTGCCTAAGTCAAATGAGGACAACTTCCTGAAATATACCAAGAGAAAATGTTGGGCTATATCACTTTGTGTCTACAATATCATTGTGACTGTGTCTTGGCTATAAATATTCTTCTATGTTCATAATAAATAAATTAGTATTTGAAACCTTAATTTTCAAGACTATATGCCCCTTAACAGCATTGTTTAAGAAGTGTTATTCAGTGACTTTAAAATTTGCTTTTGTGTCAGAGTAGGATAAAACAGAGTTTCAAAATGCATGAACATGGAGTAACAAGTGCCTATAAACTAGCATTAGCTCTAATAGCCACTAAGCCATACCCTTAGCCACTCTCCCTCCTGATATTATTTTGAAGTTAAGTCACATAATTTAATCTGTAAATACACGTTTCGCTAAATTGTCTCTACTTTTTCTAATATAGTTAGTCATAATACCTTTTTAAAGAATCATACCTAAAATCAAATCAGTAATCCCTCAGAAATTATCAGGCTGTTTTGCTAGTGGGCAGTTGTCATTGACATGTAAGTACCATGTAAGCCTGGAGCCCTCTTCAGTTGCATTCCGGGTACTGCAACTGGGACTTACACAACAGAGCTGCTGACTGGTTGAAAGTGCTCGCTGACATTCCCACACCGAACTCTTTAATTGTAGGGGAGCTGACGTCCACAGAATGTGTATTTTAAAAAATGAATACTAGACAATATAAAATATTTCTTCTAAAAGCCCTGTGAAAAGATAATCTGGCTTTCATCTCATCTACAAAACATTAAACATTTGACATAAAGCAGAACTTTTAAAACCCTGAGATAAACAATAGAAGTTGGAAAGCCTTCAGAATTAGTAAACTGGTATTTACCACACATCAAAACATATTCAATTTAAATTGAGTATAAATCCAAATCACACTCAAATGTAGTTGTCTTAGTCCTCTAAGATAAGCATTTTTAAAAAGCTCTAGTATATATATGTATTTTTAAAATCAATTAAAAGGAAGTTGAGTCTGAGTCTCTCTCCACAAAATTTGCACATTGAAATCTCAGGACCCAAAGATATTAGGATGTGGCGGATTTTCGGGAGTGATTAGGTCATGAGACTAGAGCACACATATACAGGATCAATGCTCTTATAAAGACAGCTCAAGAGCCTCCCTAATCCAGACAAGCACACATAAGTCTGGGGCTGGGAAACGGGTCCTCACCTGACCACACTGGTGCTCAGATCTTGAACTTCCAGACTACAGAACTGTTAAGAAATAAATTCCTGCTTTCACTAAGATACCTGTCTGTGGTACTTTGCTATAGTAGTCCAAACGGACTAAGGTAATACTCTTTTCTTAGCATTTTTACATACAAAAGTTTTTAAAAATGACACAATTTTTCAAGTTCAGCTGTATTATCACTCTTTTCAAAGATCAGCTGTATGATGATGAAGTATGCTCTTTATTTTAAAGCCAACTATGTTTTTGAATGTATTGTTGAATGGCATCTAGAAGTGGAACACAATGAAAAGTATTACACAGAAATGTATTTAAGACCAAATTATCCAAAATAAATGCATTTCTTAAAGTGAAACATATGGTTTGCTGTATTTAAACAGCTGCAAGACTGTACCTTTGACACAGAATTTTATTCTCCAGACCTGTCATTTCCCTTATGGTATAAGCATTTGCCATTACGTAGTGGTAGGTTAGTTAACAAATCAGGCCAGTTTCTGAAAAGTCATCCTAGAAAAGTCATCCCACCATCATCACTTATAATGTATATTAATTCTGAAAAAAATTCCAGAACTGTTGTCTACAGACAGATCCATTGTTCCAAACCTTTATAATGATTTGAGGTTAAAAAATAAGGAGTGTAAGACAAGATACTAAAAAAAATAAATAAGGAGTGTAAAGATAAGGAGTGTTTGATTAGGTTCTGAAGAATGTTAATGGGTATAAAATATTTGAAACTGCCACTGAGGTTACTGAACCTGACCATAATCTGTGGTACCGCAAGAAGTCCCTTTTACTGGGATTATCAGCATCAGTGGTACATGATGCAAATCAACAGATTGAGTATTTTAAATTTTCAAATAGAACAACACAAATTTAAGAATTTTAAGTACATTTTATTAACAATGTATCCCTTTGATAAGATTATGCTTCAGGAGGCTTTTAATGCCCTTGACATAAACTGTACACATTATACAAAAAACAAGAAAATCAAAAAAAAAAAAAAAATCAAGGTGAGCAAAACCATTTGGGGACAAACCTTATTTAAATTATACACAATGAAATATTCTTACGGAAAATATATAAATACTTTTTCTTTCTATGTTACAGTTATACAATATAAATCAGATTTCAATGTCTGTTCAGTGACTTACAAACACCAGAACCTCCAAGTATGTAGCAGCGTATTACTAAATTAAAAAAAGAAAATCATGTGGTTAGGGAGCATTAAGTCTGAGATTTTTTTTTTTCCCACAGTCCCTTACCACTTTCCAAACTAATTTACACCATTTCTTTTACAATGCAGCTTTAGGATTTCTGACAGGCCAGTAATGGAATATTTTTCAATTACTATCTATGAAAATTTTTTATCACCCCCACCCACCCTAAGACTTTGCATTTTGTGCTAGCTCAACCTACTTAGTGGCAAAAGTACAAGGTATACTTTTTTGGCATAAATTATATCTTTCAAATTAAATATTTTATAAAGAAAGTCAAACAAAATGTGCAATTTATGCATGCTGTGGCACAGCTATCAACCTCCATTACAAAAAATACTCTAAATGGGGAAAAACTCACATTCTGTGTGAGTCATTAAAAACTAGTATGAATGAAAAATACCCTGGGAACCTGGAACTAAAATAAAGAGTGCCTCTAGAAAGATTCTCACAGATTTCAATATTGTTTGATAAGCTTTACTATTAATTTCACTGGTATGCTCTTAAAACTCTCACTGTAGTGATACTTTTGAAATTAAGCTGGTAATAATGTATTTCCTGAATTGGGAGACAAGAGAGACCTTTTCCAGCTTATATTTTAGAAAATCTGAAATGTCCTTTTATTCCAACAGTTCATCTTACAAAACTAATTCCATTAAGTCTATCTTTTCTTCTTTCCCATGTTTCAATGAACTATGAATTTGAGACAAAACTGGAAGCACAGGACCAAAAGGGAAAAACCTTACTTGCAACGGAAATTTCCCAACTTAGTTTACAAATCTCATCTCATAAAAAATTGGCACCTCATTCTTACTATGCAAAAATAACTGCAGTTACAATTTGGATGATAAGCTATTTGATTGGTTTTTATTGCTTCATGATCTGTGCTTTAATGTGGGGATAAAAGTTATCCTCTCAACAGAATGAAAAAAATTTGTAATGTAAATAGCAGCAGACAAATCTAAATAAGCACTGACACTGCATTGTACACTTTGCCAATGTAACATGTGCTGAAAAACTCAGTTCTAATCATCTCAAGCTCTGGATAAAAGAGCTAGAAACTGTTTATAGCCACCATTACAAAAGGATTTGTATAAATTATGTTGTTAAGAGTTAAGAGTGTAATAAGGAACGTACCTCCAATGAGCCTCTCTTAATGTCAACTGTCTTATAGAATTGTCCTTATGCTATCAATGTTTATTAGAAATTTTTTTTATTAAAGAGGTCTTTTTCTCCCCTCAAATCTACCTAAGCATAAACAAAAAATAAAAGTATTTAAGAAATTTTGGACCATATTTCATAATACTAAATTTCTAATTTCCTTATTTTTACTTAGTATGTGAAGCTGAAATCTGTTCTTGAAAAAAATTTGTTAGAAATGACAATTTACAATTAGAAATTCACAATTTGCAACCAGCACAACTGCCTGAATTCCTCCAAATTATTTATTAATTACCAATAGTACAAATTTTTATGGACTAAGATTAATTCTAAAATCTTGATATTATTTTGGTATTCTATATCCGGTAGTATCTATTATTTATAGGTGATTTTTTTCAATTATTTTTATTACCACTGACACCATCCCTAATCTTTTCTGCTATGTTTTTAAACACCTATATTAATCACTTGGCACTGCATGTGAGCATTTTTCATCACAAAAGTCTACTTTTATATAAACAAGTACTTAAAGAAAACGTATTAGACCTGTCAGTAAAACATGGAAAAACCAAATAGCACTATAAATTTAAGTACAGACATTTTTCCCTAAAGTTTACTGATAACCACAAAGCTCTGAATGTCTCCCCAAACTAAGTGCTATAGGCAAATATTATGATGTATACACACATGTCTTTTAAGTAATAGGCAAAAAAACTATTCAGGCTAATAGTAACAAAGACTTCATTTCAAAATGGATGACTGAGGTGGGGTCCAGGTATGGGGATGGTTGTGTGTGACTAAAAAAAAAAAAAAAATTACTGTTAACTTTTGAGATATTAAACCACAGATTTTATATTCTATATTAACTGAGGTAGTGTTTAAAATGAATGTCTAAAATATGTTAATCCCATTATGAATAAGATTACTACATTACCTCCTTTGGAGTTTTTAACCACTATTTGGTCTACTATCTCTGACATTTGGTTCTCTGGAAGGTAGATTAATCATCTAAGACCAGAGACCAAGGTGACAAACAACGTTCTTGAAAGTACTGCTGACATTTAAATAAACACTTGTGTTCAGTAATAAATTAAAGTTAAAAAAGTATTTGCTATATCTTCAATTGAATTTTATGAGAGAAAATCTGAAGAACCACTTTCAACATAAGCAGCAGCTTAGAGCCCTTATCTGCTTTGTTATAATGTAAGTTGCTACACAGTGCACATAAGAACAATTCACTGAAGTGCAGTCAAAAGAGGTGTTATGAAGTGAGATGAAATGCTTCATCCCAATTGGAACTTTCAGTGCTAGTAAATTAAAAAAAAAAAAATCTCTGTGAGTTCTGTTTTCTAGTTCACAGGGTTCTTTACAGAGATCTCAAAGAACAAATCCACTTTAAAAAGAATAACATGGGAAAACATTAATCAATGCACTATGACTGTGTCAAAGCTGATGTGTAATTGTAAAAATGGTATACACGAATGAGTTTAAAAAGGGTCCTAATCAGTCCAGCTGGATTTTTTCCTATTTATATATAGACCTCAAAAGATAATCCTTTCATTTACAAACATTCTAGTGATGATGGCCATGCTACTTTTATATACAAATTTGCATATATGTTTAATTTCTGCAAAGATTTCCAAATATCTTTAGACATACACAAATTAAACAAACAAAACCTTGCCCTCATCAGCTTAACAACTTCACAAATGTGATAAAGGCAACTACTGTACTCATAAACTCACCTATCACTGCATTTAGTTTGTGCAAAACATGAACACTGATATAAAAACTAAATTACTGCTACTTTAAAATTTGGTATTTAAGGCTTTTCACTACAATTTTTAATCATAATAATAAGTTTCTCTAATGATTTTTAAAAAAGGAAATATGGCTCTTCTTTTCCCATGGAATGTGTAAATTGTAGGCAACCTTATCTTTCCCTCAGGAGTTCCAAAGTGTTACTTATTTAATGCTTTCTTTTGCTTTAGGTCTAAATAGTGCTTGTTCAAGTTCCTGTTTAAAATGATGATATGGGAAATTGATGAAAATAGAGGTCAACTGAAAATATATGCATTCCATACAGAGAAATACTTTGAATTATAAAATGATTTTCTGATTTTAATCAGGTACTGTAGTGAAAAACCTTAATTGGTTCAAATAGCCTAAAACAACACATTGCAACAAAACTGAAGAGATGGAAAACAACTAAGAAACTTTATGCAAATCTAGTAACAAAAAATAACTTATAAGTCCCGAGTTGTTGAGGCTCTTCTTTGCTTTGAGGTTATAAACCTCTGAAGTAGTGTTACAAACATTAAGAAAAACGTGGAAGGGCCTAGATCCCCCTCTAATACCAGCAGTTACAGCACACTCCATTGTGGTAACAGGATGTGGCCTCAGAGACACTGATTCCTGGTTTCCAAGAATTAGTTAATAAACAAGGCATCTTTATATTCACCCTAAAAAAGGGAATTCAGAAATAACTAGCGTGGTTGCTTCTGCATATCCTATTACTGTTCCACTGTAATTATGCATTTAAAATGAAAAAAAAAACAGAAAACCTGTCCAGGTATTCAGTGCTTGGCTCTTGCATACAATGGTAACTAAAACTCTTAAAACTGTGGTAATGAACAATGAAGCCCCAAAAGGGTTCAGTGGGGTACAGAGGAAGTCGTTTTGGTTAGAGAAGTCTGCAGTTCCAACTGCTTATGTACCAGTAATTGCTGGAACTGTGTACAGAAGATACTCCTGTATTTGCTGCCCCAGTCAGCATTTTCTGAGGCTTTTAGGAAATCCACAAATATGAATATAGTATATTTCTATTAAATCATAAATATGAGGTCAGGATTCAGCAGATGTATCAACTATAGGTTGCTTTGGTGGTGTTGCCAACACAGCCTCTGCTTCTTCATGCATCTAGGAAAGAAGCAGTAAATTGTTAATAACTTACTAGTGTGT